ATAAAAATATGAGAATTGTATTATATTTTTAAACTTATATTATATTTGTAGAAATTAATAATAAATATTAATACAATAATATTTATTTATTAATATATAATAATAATATTAATATTAAATTTATTATGCTTGAATATATTTAATAGACATAAGCATTTAAAATTATTTTTTTATTCATTAATATTAATATACAATATTTATATTGTATAATTATATTAATATTACAATATTTATAAGTAATTATATTATAATTTCTCTATGAATATATTTGTAAATAATTATATTATAATTTCTCTCTCTCTCTCTCTCTCTATATATATATATATATATACACATATATGTATATATCTAATGTAAAGATAAATAAGATAATAAATATATCTATATATATTTAATAAATGTACGAATATATAATATAATAATAATAGAATTATTATTGTATTATAGGAAGCAGATGCACGTGAGGCAGCTCAAAAACTACAACAACCCTTGAATCAGCAAATAGATCGACGAGATAATTATGATAGAAAATTTCGAAAATGAAATAAATAAAAAATAAATATTGTTGACATATGTTTTCATGTAGTATAAAAATTAAGTCAAACAATTAAGTCTTTAAATTAAGAATATTTTAATAAAATAAATTTTATAATAATATTATAAAGTAAATATATAAATGTGTGTTTTCTTTCATTGATATTATTAATCTTAATATTTATATTAACATATTCATAAATTTATATGTTAACATATTCATGGAATACGTTTAAAAAATCAATTTTAAAAACTAAAACATATTCAAAAGTTGTTATATAAAAATTTTGATTGAAACTTATTTAATTATAAATAATTTAAATTTAGATTGTGTTAGATTGGGAAGATAAAATAAATAGAATTATCGCATTTATTAAATATTATTAATTGATTATAATTCAATAAATAAATCTTCATTGAAATTTTTATACATCAAGTTTTGTATTTATTCTATCTTTAGAATCTTTCAATCTTCCAAAAATCCACAAATTATATATTAATTATAAAAGCACAAATTATAAATTAACGAAATTTATTAGTCAAGAAGAATTAATTATTAGAATTAAAATTAGAAGTAATTTAATTTATATTATAAATGATAAAGATTTTTGAATATAAAATAATATATATATGTAATATTTTTTTTTAATCTCAAATGAAAAATATTAATTTTTTTTAATGAAAATTGTGAATATAAACGTCAAAAAAGATCGATTTTAAGGAATATGAGTATTAAATGATATTTAAGAAAAGAGTAATGAATATGCAATCTGCCAGATATTATAAATATAATATGTATTTCATTTTAATTAAATAAAGTTCTTAATAAAGTTACAATATCTGAATTGATAATATGAGTCGAAAAAAAGAATTTATATGAAAAAAATGAATCGAAAATAAAATTTTTTTCATACAAAGTTATTATACAGTCGAAATTATTTTGTCAAATATTTGAATACAGTGCAAGGAATTTAGTGAAGATATTTTAATACTAGAGATGTCCGGTTTAAATCTGATCAATCTTCATTAATTTTTTGTTTATATTATTTGAAATTCATGGTTTTGGTTCATGATCATTCATATGATTTATTTACTTCTATAGTTATTTTAGCAAAATGAATTACTAAATGGATGCATGGACAAGAGAGAACTGATTCATTAATTCTTTAGTTATTAATTATATAAAAAAAATTTCATTTGATCTTAGATGCGAAAACAAATTTTTGATAAAGAATCATTATAAATTGGTTCGAAATTTATTACTTTAATAGTTAATAGTTACATCCGTTAACATCGATCATATTAATATCACGTTTTCTTTATACTTCATTATTATAACCATATTAAATTATTATAATATATATAATATAATATAAGTATTATGAATTGCATTAGATAGAAGATAATAAATATAAACAGATAATTGAAATCTTTTTCTGTAATTATCGTTTGCAAACTTCTATTAATCGTAAACAAATATGATATTATTTGAAAAGACTGTCGTTTTTGAGAGTTTAGTCGACATTTAAAATTATATATTTCTGATATCTTTTAGTCTGACTGAATCGATCTTAACAATAACATATTCCAAACATGGCTGACTCAATGACAAATAACATCGTTCTAGTTCGAAAAAGTCTATAAGAGAAATATACTAATCTGTTCCCGCTTATCAGAGATGAAATCTTTATATATAGATCATCATTTAAATGAGGAATTTTCCTCGCGGGCAATGGTGTCACGGGCACTGACCGCGATATTATTCGTTGGTGGCATGTCTCATCAGAAAACTATGATTCTCCCAATTTAACTAGAAAGAGATTTTTTGAAAACACGAACTTCATTTAAAATAGAGTCTCATGATAATCACATCATACTGTGACCGCCGGATACGACAATTACAATTTTGTTCTAACATCACATCTGACCATCAGATTATCTGTTATAATATTGAGAGATCCTGCTTTTTAACATTGACTACCATTCGGGTGACGTTTATTTGAGTACTTATGATCTTCGTAGGTATTTGGAAAGATATTCTGCAACGTATAAAAAATTATTAAATTTTGTTAATGAACGTTATAAAAATAATAAAAAAATAATTTATTAAAAAAATTATTTTGAATGTAAAATTTTAAAAC